CTCCCCATCCACCTCACAGAAAGTTATTAAGCTGGACTGAAAGAAGAGAAAGTGGCGTTAAAGCTCTTGGTCAGAGGGAGTGTTTGTAATCTCTTTGCCTCCCCTTTTCTCACTACACACCCATCTAATTATCAAAACTGAGTTAAAGCAACTGCTATTGGATTACACCAAACTAGACAATTAAACAGAGCAACAAGTTCAAGTAATTACCGGCCAGATGCGAACACCGAGGAAGGGAGTATTACATTCAAAAAAAACCTACACCACTGTGACTGCAAAGAAATAAAGGAACGTAAGTGGCTTTTTCAGATGCTCTACAATCATGAAGCCATTCTCCCTTGTTCAGTAATTTCAAAGGCAGAATAACCTTCATAAATGGTTCACATGCACACACACAAAAAACCCATTCTGTGCTGATGTAGTGTTCAAAAGAGCAGCATCATTACATGCTTTATCAAATCTATACTTAACTTCTCATGGTGCAGTACATGTAAATTCTGCAGACTGAACCTATTTGTGTAAGCTGAAAAAAAATAAGAGAAAGAGACAGCATGCAGCCTGAGGAGAACCCTCATTATCACAGTTTTAGTGATACTGTTGGTAGCACCAGCAAGAGACTGTCTCCTGTTCGCAAGGTGATAACTTCCAGGACCTTGATCAATGTGCATTACTCAGGCAGATGAATCCAAATCTACCCAGCAACTTCTGGTATCTGGATGAGTCTGATAAGTAGCTGGAAGGCATGAAAACTCCTATCTGAACTTATTAATGCATACTAGGAAAAGAAACCACCCACAACTTTTTTTTTAACAGTGAAATCTAAAACGCACATATACTACAGCTGAGCTTATCTCCTAACTGGTTCTAACGGAGGGAATGGACTCGGTCTTCCAGCCACGCCGATAGCAAAAGAGGATAGTTGCAGTACAGTACCTACTTTTCATATCAGCACCCCCAATCTCCCGAGTGAAATATGGGGACTGGAGTACAACCACAGAAACAGTACTTATATTACCCCATGATGGCAAGGATATTAGATTAGTTTTACTGAGAACATTTGGCATGAATATCCTGGGGCATAGAACTATCTGTGCATCAGTCATGAAAATAAATTTTTAAAAAATAAACCAACCAACAAACAAACTTTAAAGAATCTTTTTCATATCCAGCACCTCTCTTAGTAATTGCTTAATACAAAGGGGAAAACTTGGAAGTTTATGAGGATCCTAAACAATTACATTGAAGACAATTATATTTTCATCCCAGGAACAAGCTCTACTCTAGACTACATGTGTAACGCCATATTATATACTTTCATACCTACACTGCACTTATTTTATTCAAGGAAACCTATGGAGGTCCTGATGCAACATTTCTAGGGCCAGCTCCAGCCCAGGTTCAGGCTCAGCTGTAGAATACAGATGTTTTTATTTCTTACTACTTTTAAGCTCCAGAAAGCTCTTTGTCTTAATAGGACTTTCTGCTCTTTAATAATTAACTGAAACTATCCTGGACGCAGATCCAATAACAAATACCGAGATAGTCAAAATACCTGGAGGGGTTTTCCTTGATGATTCTGCGTTATAATTGTGAATTTGGAATTTGCACAGTATATTTAATACTGGAGAAGCTTAAATATATAGATTTATTTAAATGTCTATTTAGCAGGCTTTTCACACTTGAGTATCTCAACTCAGATAACCTGACACTTTTTTTTTTGTTGTGGTGTGGTTTTGTTTGTTTTGGGGTTGTGTATGTGGTTTTTCTGTTTTGGTTTTGTTTGTTTTTAAATTCCAGCATCTACTTATGAGGAAAAGACTCAGATCATTAGAGCAGTTTCCGCTGTGTACCTGGTGAGTTAATAAACAGACGGTGCAATTACAGTGACAAGCATCACACCAGAAAAGACCTAGAGAAAAAATACTAAGCAACTCCAAAAAAGAAACCACCTCTCCCTCTGGTGTCACTGAAGGCATCAGCTTTTCACATCTAAAAACCTCAAGAAAAGAGGGACTGATAGAAGATGAGCTGTCCCAAATATCACAAGGATGACAGAAAGCCACTCAGTTAAGAGACAGACTGTTTTTCATCCGTGTTAACTAACCGAACACTTTGAAAGCCAAGAGACCTAGAACATACACCGAGAGGTATGTAGCTGGGCTCTGTTGAGTACTTCTACTCCCGTAGTAGCAGAACAGACCATAAGAAAGTTCTGTCAGCCTTAAAAGAATTTACATAAGGCAGCAACAAAATCATTCTGAGGGACCTCCTGGAGAGTGAAAATCTCACAAAAATTGTCTCATGAAAAATAGGTTTTAGATACTGTAATATTCCCTCTTTATCAGCTCTCCACAAATTCCCACTATGTTTTGAATAACTATTTTTGGTATCCAGAATATCTGAAAGAGATCAGGGAAAAAAACAATTGCAAATAAACCTCCATACATACACACACAGTTTAAAATGTTATTCACAGCCTTACATAACGTAACAGATGTCCTGGAAGGACACTATCATTAATACAGACCTTAAATGATAAGATTCCAGCCAATTTCCACAGTATTTTAAACAATCTTTACATAAGCAAAACGTACATTTAGATCAGAATACAAGTAACTGCCATGCAGCTTTTACTTAAAATAAAATTACAGACAAGAAGCCTTCCATTCATATGTATGGCAAGACATAGAATCTCTGGGTGTTTTGTACACCTTGTACAAAATTGTATTAAATTACTAAATGTGCAACAGTGAGAGATGAGAGCACTATTTCCACTGGAGTACCAAAGGATAGTAAGGTGTACAGATGGAAATGACAGGTTTCCCTGGCTCGACCGTTATGATTCTAGAGTGCAAAGAGAAGAATAAGTGTATTGCCATTTATGCAAGCCCTGCAACAGAGTCAGAGGACAGAAAAGTGTTAGAATATACAGCAAATAGCTGTCTACAGAAAAGCATTTTCACAGTACTGCAGAGGTATCTCTTGCCACTAAATATACTGTAATAATTTGAAACTAATAAAGTTACGATCTTTTGTTTAACATTTCGAGCAATTACTTTACAACAGCACACTGTTCTTAGTAAAGATGTCGGGGGGGGGCAGAAAGTGATGCATGTTTAATTTCATTGATCACTTGATTTGCTGAAAGAAGTATGTGTTGTTCCAATTTAGGGTGTTGAAGAAGTTCATGTATTTCAAAGCAAAACCTCTCATTCTGTATCTACCGAATATTATCATACAATATTGAGAAATGTAAATTATTCTTTCCTTTCTCAATAATACAATAAAACATCTTATGCATAGGGAAGCAAAGAGATCTTTACATTACAAAGATATACTTTTAAATTTTAACCTTTGTTGAAGGAATCCCCTCTGATTTGATGTTCAACTGATCAAGAGAAAGCAAGTGAGCAGCAGAGTATCAGCTTGGATTTAGTGGGTTTAGGGGCAGGAATATCAACTGAGCAAAACTTCAGTTACAAACTAATTTAATGTATACCCAAGTACATTATTGCAATTCAATAAACATCTCTTCAGAATTAAACAATTTCAATTTGCTTTCATTTCAGCCTGTGTGCATGCATTACAATTCACTATTATCCACACTAAAATTAGTCAGACTGCTTGGAAGCACTCATCCACGCAACCCCAGTGTGCCACAGTGCTGCATCAAACTAACCTCAAATGAACCACTTAACCTTACCTGCTTATGACGCAGGAGCAAGGAGCAGAGGAGTGTACCTTCCCATAACAATATTACTCTCCTAAAATTTCGTCTAGCTAGGTGTTTGCCTGAGTAATCCAGCAATGAAATTTTCAACGTCTCTGCTGGTGGACGTCCAACCATTCATGTTTATAACATTCTTCTATTTTTTCCCTTCTTATATCAATGAACATGGAAGTGTCAGGCACCTACTCAACTTTGCATATTCTGGTATTTTGTTGCTCTGGGAGATTTTCTTCCCTTTATTTAGCTGTGTTACAATACTAGATATGCTACTCTTGGCAACTCAATTCCGTTTTAATCATTAATTAATTCCTCCGGATTTGAACAAGATGCAAGATCACCGAGTGGGAATTAAACGCACTTGGCATCTAATAGCACTCTCTTTGCGATCTGTGTAGTTTGAATATCTGCACCACTCAGCACTCTATATTTAAGGCAGTGTAAAGGCATCAGTATACTAATCATCAAATGACAGAGTAAGTTGCCAGGAAGTACTACAGCGGAGATGAAAGTGATCCCATTTCTACAGCAGCCCTCCATTTTCATAGAAAAGTGAAACATTTAGGTCAATAAAATTATACTCTGAGTAGACTCGTACTCCTCCCATTTGACATCACCCCCACCCCAAACACACAATGTCTCAGGAGCAACTTAGCCACCTTCTGATCTCTCCACATGAGAGGCAGTGAGCATCCGTGTGATGCAGTGCAAGAAGAGTTTAAAAAAAAAGGCACTGTAAATAGCATGCATGTCTCATGAAGGCAAGATTAAGACACATCTTGCATGTGTCAGGCACTGTATCAGCTCTTGAATCACAGTAAATAACAGGGCTAAAACCCTAGTATCCTTCAAGAAGTACTGATGTTTCTACTGTGTGCTTCAGGACATCCACAGAATCGATCCCATCATTTATTCCCAGCATCCCTGAGTAGACTTTTCTGACATGCAATGCTCCATCACAAGATTATTGATGCCTAATACTGTAAAGGCAGGCAGATGAAGCTGACAAACTGTTTAGCTGACTACATTAAAAGTATCCATAGCTACACCATGCATTACTACAAAAGCTTACGAAAAGGGCTGTATACAAAGTTATGATTCAAATATTTGTTTTAAGAAAATGATTGAAATTCATGTCACTTTTACCTTTTTTTTTCCTACTTAACTTTAATATGAAAGAAAAAGGTCCAATATGATGTCAATTTTTATATATAGATGCCATCTGGGAGGAAACACTCATCTTGCATAAACCTGCTGCTTTAGTGCAACCTACCTTTCACTATTAATTCCGCATAATTTGAAACTCCAGATCCACCATCTGAACGAATGACACATCGGTACTTGCTGATGCTGCGCTGGGAGGTGTCAGCTACACTGACAGTAGCGGAAAAACGTCTATGGTTGACCACTCGAGTGACCATTAGTGCTGTGTCCCTTCCATTCCACTGCTGTAAAGGCAGAGAAGAATAATGTCAGTCATGGAGACACACAGATTATACATCCATATGTGATTCATTCTTTGTTATGTTTCATAATGTTGTTCAAACCATCACATCACTAGGTTAGATTTTATATAAGCACAATCTTTCAAGAGAAGACTGCTAGCCATACCCCTGAAAAATTTACAGGGTTGTATGAACTAGGGCTTAAATATTCTCACACATATATTTAAGTTTTCATGTCTATTTAATTTTTGAAGCATATTTGGGCCTTTGATGTGTTATGTGTATTGACAAGGGTGGAGAGTGACAGTTCAGACCATGCAATTGTACACTGTATACTTAGAGGTCTGTCTAGGATGTGAAAATACTACAAATGAATGGATTTTGCACACCTGGGAAAATGCTACAAATGAACAGATTTTATAAATTTGATATTTTCAGAGGAAAATTGATTCTGAACCAATTTATTTAAATTGGTTAGATGAGCAGACATCTTTATATGTCCAACATTCCTCAATAAACCCCTCTATCAATGTGAGACTACATTTTTCCAAATGGATGAAGAATTAGCTAGAAATAGAAGTACTCCACAGCATAAACACCTGAACTTGCTCAGTTGGTCTAGTTTCTCAGGAGTTTCAAAGGAAAACACACTGCTGTTTTGCCAATTTCCAGTAATCAGTTTTTGGGGGTGTTTCCAAGGCTATTTTCATTAAAAGTTTCAATTTTAGAGAATGAAAAGCAGGTTTCCACTAGCAACAATAATGATTTCCTCCCAAACCCCTGCTTCTCACAGGAAAAGGTTCATACTGCTTCAGGTCAGAATTGTTTTTACACATATCTAGTCATAACTGTGGAAAGATTTCACTGACAGAACTGAAAAAAGATAAAGAATAAGCCAAAAATGTATCTCTGTGGATGCTAAAAGTACATCATGGGTTAATAAATTTCAGATAAAAAAGTATTTTTTAGGGGAACAGCTGTGATGAGAGTATAGTTAAAGTGACTCTCAAGTCATTTTTACATGATGCCGACTACATTTCTCACCAACTCAAGCCAAGCCTTTTCCCCAGTAGTAATTTTCATTTTTATGATTAGGTAAACTGATTCCTCCCCTAGTACCTAAGCGATACATGAAATTGTTATTTTTAAAGTTTGTTAAAATGTCTGAAGTCAATTTAAAAGTTTGAGAAAATCCGTTAGTTATTTGACTACAAACGCCATAGCAACCACAACAAAGGCCATTCTTGTTTGCCTCAGATGCTACAAATACAGGGTGGTCAGGCCCTCAGTCATATCAGCCCAAGCTGTGAATAGAAACTGTCGACTGAGTTAAGCGTTCTGAAAGTTTACGTTGGCCCTGTGTACATGCATAGTAGATATAAGCAAGAGAATCCTCTTGTTTGGGACATGAGGAGTTTAATTGCACAGTTTAGAAGAAGTGACAAGTTCAACTATTTTAAAAGTTTCTAGAAGAGCTCTACGTATAGAGCATGGTATGGTAATGTTGGGGCTCCACATGTTGGACCCCTTCAAAGGGCAGAGGAAATAACTTTGTCCTTCACTGGGAAACATGTACTCCACCTCTCTGGTTTGATACATGTTCTAAGTCTAGAACCAAAAATGAGTTCTTAAAGTTGTTACTACACCCATTTGAATAGCACTACCCAGTCTTCGAGTCCAACCAGCAGGGTGAAATATGGACATTAAGAGAGGGAATGTTTTGGTCTTTTAGCAAGTGACTAAAAGGAACAATCTGCTATCGATGCAGCCAAGGGAAACTGGGAGGAAGAAACACAGTGGGTACTCAGCTGGTTTTGCCTGTTTTCACCATCCAGGTAGCAAAAACAAACCTTAGGGTAGGTTTGCTTCTTAACATCTAATCACCACCACTCTGCCCTCAGCCCAGAGTCAGTGGTGAGAGGAAAGAAGATTGCATAATTAAGCAGAAGACAAGAAATATTCCACTTGTTCTGTCTCTTCTACTTTATGACTAAATGCTTACGAGGTACATGGGCATTTGTTTGAAACCAAAATTTTGCTGTCACTAGCCTTTTTTTCCCCCTTCTGTGTCATGATTCTGTCCTTTGTCACCTTAAACTCTTACCTAGAATGAATTTAAGGCAGTTCTCAGGGGATCTGGATGAAAAGATTTTGACCCACCACCCAGTCTTTCTCTATCTACTTAGTTTACTTGGAAAAAAGTAAAAAAAAAAAACCAAACACAAAACCAAACAAAACAAACAAAAAAACCCAACCCCAAACCAACAAACACCACACCCCCAAAAAAGTGCATCATTTTACCTGGAGCCAGAGTTTGTCATGCTGCGACCACTTCCCCCCAGCAATGCACTGGAACGTGGCGTTCTGTCCCACATTAACCTCCACGTTCTGAAGTCGTAGGAAGTGAGGTGCTTTTCCTAACAAAAGATGCAAAGTATTGCAAGGGTAGAGCAAGGTGGTAATTGACTGTTACACATCTAAACAATCAGCAAAGCATTAGGGTCTGTCCCTGACAAAGTGATTTAGCAAAATAAAGCTGTCCTTCAGTATTTAACTATACAATGCAGAGCGAGGTAGATGATCGATCTGACAGGGAATGGCCTAAGGGATCATACAGAGCTCTGGTACATCTGAAAACACAGACTTACATCAGATCACAATACAAGTTCATGGTCATCAGCACAATTTCTTACTGCTTGCTATAGCAATATTTGAGTAATTTCTTTTTGTTAGAAAATTGTGTTTCTAAAAAAGGTCCAAAAAAATCGAATGCTTCTGAGCTTATCAAGCATGACTGACCCAAACCAAATTTTCATAAGGGTCTTTTTTTTCCTTTTTATTTTATTGACTATCAAATATAAACTAGAGCTTTAGAATGATATGTCATTAATATCAAATCTCTGATATTAAATTAAATATTCATATAAATGACAGTATCGTATCACTGTATTAGGTTAAGATCTTTCATATCAGTGTGCTGCTGATAATAAATTCAGTATTAATTCAATATTAAACCACTGATAAAACTGATTAAACTGCAGCCATCACATTTGTTCACAAAGGAAAAGGATCGAGGATTATCTTTTTGACTAAATACCAGACTCATTTACCTCTAAGTTAACTCACAAGAAAACAAAGAAGATTACAGCAGTGAATCTGACACTTTTAAATGAACTTAGTTCTTGCTGGGCTTCAGATGAAGGTTTGTGCACCATTTGAAAACTTTTAGTACGACACTGAACAGCTTTGTGAAACTCTAAAGGTCAGAGCTTTTCAACTTCATCTTTACATTTTTCTTGTATGATTAGACATGGATGAAATACATAATTTCAGTCAACATACCAACTCATCATCTTCTACTGTAATTAAATAGCTTCAAAAAAATGTGGGCATCTGTGTCTGTGTGTGCATGAAGCTTAACATAGAGGTTTTTGTCTACTACAGACACAGGAACAGAGAACATGTGCCTATATGCTATGCCAAATATTTTTATTTAGTTTCTGTATCCCATTCATCACATGCTCGGTTTGCTGACAGCTCCTGAAATATAGTGATTCTATAACATCATGCTTTCTGGGGATCAGTAATTTGCATCAAAGTTTACTGGAAAACTACCTCTGGGTGACAGTCAGAATGTACTACACGTGGTATTTGCAGACTAATAATAGCAATTTTTGCCCACAGTTTAAGGTGGGTAGATATTAGCCAGCGCCAAAGCTGCACAGCCTGGGTGAGTGCAGTCACACCAGCCCCAAATTTCTAGTCCTCAAGGTCTGCCCAACCTCCAGGGCATAGGGCTGTCCTATGATTGCAAGTGCTCATGTACACATAGTCAATGAGCTTCTAGCATAATGAAAATTATACTCCAGTGCATTCCTTCACTGAACAAAAAAAAGGCAACACCATCAAGATACTTATTTTACTTCATTACTGTGTCATTAGGGACATTTAATTGCATTTTTGCTGATACTTAGGTTTGTCTGCTATACTGTCATCTGTGAAGGTAAAGCAGAAATGGAAAAGTAACACTAATAGTTTCAGTAACCTCCAGGGTCATCAGGAGCTTCACGGTCCCTGTGCTTTGAGTTATAACAATTGCAAAACAAACACGGGAGCAAAGCCTGTACAAGGCAGTGGAACACACCCTGGTGACATTTACCCTGGTGGCTGTCAGACAGGAGAAGCGTTTATCAAAGAGTGCAGAGAACTTGCAGCTTGCAATGAGCTCTGCACGCAGCAGGTTGCAAACTGACTCAAAATAGAGTAGTGAACTGTTCAAGTAATTTCTGTTTTGAGTCACCAAGGATACACTTAATTTTCAAGAGGGACCTGCATATACTTGGAGAAACAGATTTAAAATCAGTTTAAATATTTGATTAAGCAGGGGTGTAGCACAGCATCCTGTCTCTTTGTTTAAAATCCCATAACCTTGTTGTCTAGGCTTTGCCTCATGGTTTGTTCAGTGGCTTCTTCCCCTGTAAAGGGATCAGTCATCACCCAACGTGCTGTGGAATGCACGCAGACCATTTGGGGGACTTGTTTGGATGTTGCCAGTTATCAGCAACATCTGGTTAATACAGATTGTAAGTATTTCTTAATGAAGTAAATGCACCCAAAGGCCTGAGCAATGAGCACATGGTAAATACAAATATAATTTAGTTAAACGGCAATTAACCATACTGCAGTTATCAGAATGTCCTGTTAAACTTGAGCAGAGTCACGTCTGTCACACTGAATGGCAGCTATTCTTTGAAATTCTATATTGCAAGAAAAACAGTTAATTTCACTCCATTGATATGATCCACAATTTTTTTTTGTGAGCAGCTGTCACTGCTTTACTGAAACGATAAACTAACAAGAGGGGCTGTTTAGGGCTGTTAAAAAAAAAAAATCTTTAGAAGAAACTGTATACTGCATACACAATATAGACCCACAAAGCCCTCAAGCCACACTGTAGGTGCACAGAGAAACCAGACAAGTCCAGACTCAAAGACTGAGTCTCAAGTTTTGTTTAAGCAGAAAAGAAATATTAAATAAATCTAAGCTTATTCTTATGGCTGCAATAGAAGAAATGTGGCACTAATATTTCTGAACAGCATAATAAACCTGCATTAGTTTCTACTCCTGTGCAAGTGCATTGTCTGAATGAGATTTATTTTTAATATCTTTACTGGGGTGCTGAGTGAGTTTAACATTTGTTGAGAGAGACAGACCTTTGGGATATGTCCTTTACCAAGGAAATACCAAAACAATTTGTTTCTTCTTTTCTTCAGTTAACCACACAGGATATTATCAGAAGCTTTTTATGTTGTTTTCTACAGTAATATGGTTCAGAAATAATAAAACAATCAGGTTTATGTTGTCATAACAAGAGAGGAAGAGAGACTTCCACAGATGTCCTGGCACTAGCCACAGACTGACAGCAGTTCTGCCTTTTGCACAACGTGCAAAGTTACGTAATTACGCAAGGCTGATTGTCTCTAGGTACTTCAGAGGGATACAGGAAGACATTCTAGTGCTGACCACACTGGTGGTTGGATGGGTAAATCACTCCTTTTGACTGCAAAGCCTGGTCTATAAACACACTGATACAGTTAGAAAAACAAAGAGTGCTCACTGCATGGATGGGCGAGAACTCTGACTTCATCCACAGCTATGTATCCTGGATGTCCTTTCAAAGACACAGATTCAAATATCACCTGAAATACAAAATTGGGAAAAGTTTTCTTAAAAAGCATAGTTACACTAGACCTTTGGCTAGTCACCATATTCTGCTCTTATTCCAATGTCTGAGTCATTCGAGGCATTTCATCATTAATAATGACAGGATACCAATGCAATTCAGTATGTACATGCATACCAACGATTGAAAATCTGTTTGATATGAAAAACAAAAAGTTAGAGCAACATTTATTAGTGTTAGAGACAGCTATGTGCTGCTTTAATTTGGAAGAGCAAAAAATACCCTGTGTATATCCACATCTATATTTGCTTTAAGCACCAGCACAAGATTATTAAGTGGATAATCGTTTGACATCTTGTTCTTAGCATGCCTCAGAAAACTGGAGAACGCTATACATGACATAAAATAATTTTATTGAATCAATAACCCTACATGGATTCTTTTGGAGAAAACCTTGGTTTGGCATACATGCCACTGCAGTATTAGAAAACAAATCACAAGCAACAGATGACCCTGGATTCTAGTTACTGGACTGAAATAAGATTCTCCCACATATATGCCTTTCCCTAGATTGAACTAACTAATGGGCTGAGAAAGAATATTCTTAAAAACCACATGTAGTATTTCTCTACATTAACGGTATACTTATCTATTTTATTTATGTACCTGGATAATGAAAGCGTTCCACTAATTTGGGTCTTAATAGAGAGTTATTCAATTACAGATGAACAAAAATCTCATTCTTCCTTATGGCTTTGTGATTTTACCTGGAAAACTGCCCTGATCTGAAGCATTCTTATAGTTATTAGGAATATGACTTATATTCCTTATAGTTACTAGGAATATAACTATAGTTATCCTATAGTTATTAAAAATATACAGGCTATCTGAAAATCAGCGGTACAGAGGGGAAAAAAAACCTGATCAAGAGATCATTAAAACTAAGTTAACTACTGCCAAATAAGCTAAAAAAAAATTCAGGAGAAAACAGTATTAGATACGGTGCAGTTCGCCCAACAATTAAAGGATTGCAGGACATAAGCTGTAGACTGTGACCTTATCAGAGTCTACAGCTCCGTCATGAGGGGCAGCGGAGGGGGAAGGTGCTGATCTCCTCTCTGGTGCCCAGCGACAGGACACGAGGAAACGGAATGAAGCTGCGTCAGGGGAAGTTCAGACTGGACACGAGGAAAAGGCTCTTCACTGAGAGGGTGGTCGCTCACTGGAACAGGCTCCCCACGGAAGCGGTCACAGCACCAAGCCTGTCAGAGGTCACAGAGCATCTGGACAACACTCGTAGTCATATCGTTATTTTTTGGGTAGTCCTGCGAGGAGCAGGGAGTTGGACTTGATGGTCCTTATGGGTCCCTTCCAATTTGAGATATTCTTTGATTCTATGAGGAACAGGACGTTTAGAAATGTTAAACTGCAATAGAAAAAAGAAAAATGCAGACTGATTATTTAACAACCTGGTAATGCTGCCTCTCCAGTTAGCGATTCTCTTCCCAAAGGAATGAAGTGCTATCCCTTACTATTTAAAAAAACAGGAACGTAATATGGATGCTGTCCTCTGCATTTGAAAGGGTTGTCCCCAGTTTCATTCCCTCTTACTAAAGGAATGTTCACACTGTACTAAATTGCTAATTTTTGCATGAGTATATAATAATATTTCAAGGACAGAGTTAATTAACACATTCAGCTGGCACAGTTACTACTATTAGAGCAGTATTCTAGTGCAGCTACTTGTTTCGTAGAAGAAAATATTTCAGTAATTCGTAACCTCTAAAATTCATTACTAGAACACAAAGTTAACTATTTAAAAGCCAGTTTTCAACATTTATTTAGAAAGAAAATAACAGCTGGGATTCCCAGTCTGTCACTGTTTAGCCTCTTCTTCATCTCCTTCATCACAAGATTTAATATAGTAAAATTCAACTGCCCAAATGCTGATCACTGCATGCCCTGGCGAGGGAAGTAGACCAATATGTCCTTCATGAGTACAGAATTGCTGTTAATCTTTTTGCTTTGCATTTGGGCTTCTAGAACGTAGTTTCTACAAATGTTTCCATGACTTCCTAAGATCTGCTCCCTCAACTCAAGACACATCCAAATGTGAGATCTTCTGGAAGACATCCATTCAAAAAAAGACATGATAAAACCAGGTAGAACAAAAATATTAATAGGCAAAGCTATAAAGTAAGAAAAGCTCAAGTGCTAACAATATTTAGAAATATTGTTCTACTCCAGAGGAGAGTGGACAAAAAAAATAGGCTATCCGAGAAGCAAGAGGAGGAAGCAAGTCTCTGGAAGATGAAATAATCCAAAAAAACATCAACAGGTGTTTTGTGTTGTCAAGGTTCTTGATAGGCTTTTTAGGGACTGTATAAAATAAGGGTATAATGCAAGTCCTTAGTATGGAAATTGTAATTTCTTTTAGAAATAAAACAAAATTCATGATAAAATTTACACTTACTGGGAAGGTGATGTAAGCAACTATTGTGACTCCCTTCAGACTTGAACATTACAGCTACAAAATCTTATTTTGGTTTTGCATTTGTGAGAAGCTATAAGCCACAATGAACTAATTCTCAATTTCCTGCAAGTCAAGAACTTGGAAAGAAAAGCTCTCCAAGGCATTAGTATTAGCTGTTAGTGCATGGCAAAAGTAAGCACCGATACATAAAAAATTGTCTTCTGTTAATTACCAACATGTACAGTGTCTTTAACACAGCACAATATAACTTAAGCTGGTAAGAACTGAGTCATACACACTGGTGCAGAATCCACTGAAGAGTGGAGGAGTCCTCTCGATATTGTGTGAATTGTTTTGACAGACTATTATATTATCTGTTCAGCTTTATACTCAGATATTCTTGTTATTTCCCAGTTCAAACTTGCACGTTGTTGCCTTTTTCTGTATTTTGCAACATCTCAGCCCTAGCAAAGCCAGAAGCACAGAAGCACCCAGGCTTTTCTGAAAACAAGGAATTGAGACCCAACATGAGGAAAAGGCAGGAATCCATGCTTATGGGGCCCAGTTCTGCAAATTTCACACTGAATATCCCTCATGTCCTTTTAAGTTAAGTCAGAAGTGTAGTGTAATTGTTGAGACACAGGCATTTAACAATGCTTTACGTTTAAGGAACTTATCAGAAATTCATATAGATGACAAAATGCAAAGCTTTATTCTTAAAAAACATTCTTAAATGCTCCCGAGACCAAGTCATTTCATGTTTCCTTACCAATAAACAATCCTACATTTTACTGCTGCTATATACCAACAACATCTGTGTTAGGAACATAGCCTGGCTCATCTGTTGTGGTACAACAGTTTTCTTCAGGCACGGATCAATAACATTCCTTGCTATACATCAAAAAACCTCTCCCTGGCAGACTCTAGTGCTGCCCTTGGTGCATTCTGGGACTAAGTTCATCCTTATGGCAAGCAGTAATTCAAGATTACCTGTATTACCTTTCTCCAAGAACTATTACAGCTTCTTCTCGCTACACTAAAAGCATTTGCAGGCTGGGAATCCAAGTACGAGCAACTCTAGGGTAGGCATTATAAATCTCCACCATGCCCACGTTTATATCTCAGCAGAGTGCTTTTGGATCCAGATGACTCATACGACCCTTGCCAGACCTAAAAAATGACCTCTGGCAGTTGGCTTGGTTACTAGTTTTCCACTAGTCACATGTCCAAAGGCTCAAAGTACTTTTTGAAGCCTCAGATGCAGGGCAGATAGTTTAAGATTTTTTTGCCTGAATGAATTTTCGATGCACATTGCAATTCAGGATGGTGTGGTTTCTGTGCATTAAGAGAATAATCAACATTTTGCCTGATGCAGACTTTATTATTTAGGGAAAATGCTAGTTTTTCCTGTGTTACCTGGTGCTTTTGAAATACAGAACATGCTTTCAGGCCTCTTATGTACAAAGAGTTCTCCAGGCATGCAATTTTGATTTAAAGCTGACAAATAACACTCCAATGGCACATCCTAGATTGTGAGTGTGAAATGAGACACTCCCTAGACAACAGTACACCCAAGCTTTTGTCATCCTGCCACCTCTGGACTCCTTTAACCAGAAGCATTACTTTAGGCTGCCAAATAACAATAATTTTGTCCGAGTCTTTCATTGTGTTTTCCTCTGCACTTTTGCAAGCATAAAGTTTTCTTTCTTCCCCTTTTTTAAAAAACCTTGATTAAATATAGAAACTCACAGGATTGCAGACCATCAACACAAGACGGTTTATAAAATTATTGGCTGATGATAGATCAGTCTATTAGATCCTCCATAATAGTAGCACAGGTCTCAAATTTTGAAAGCCACACTTGTGGAATAAGAAAACAAATATAAGAGAAGAAAACATCACCCCTGTTCAAAAGAAAAGAAAACCCTTGCATTTTCTAGGAAGGAACTACTCCTAGGTCGTTACTGCTGGCTTCCGATCTGTTCATTTTTGTGCTGCAGTGAAAAATTCTTGTTTGATTTAAAGGACTTTTTACTCAGGAAAAGCAAACTTGACCTGCAAAAGGACTTGCAAAAGAAGTGACTAAGGTTCAGGAAGTCTACTAGTGGTATATCTAAGAGTAGGATCTCTTAGTGTGAGATCAGACTGTCTTTTCCAGGTTTTTTCAAGCACTGATTATATGGGTGAAAGATCATTTCTGTTATCTCTGTGGAGCACCTACTATGAAGTAAATTCTGGTTCATAACCAGGTTCGTGTTAATATGAACAGAGTAGAAGCACTTTAACATGACTTCAGAACAAGTGACAAATTGTGCACAGCCCTTAAAACACCATTTTCCATGCATTTGCATCTTCTTACACCTTCCTCTCACTCTGCATAGTGTGGTCTATGTGTTCTGCTGATATTCCTCACACTTTTTCAGAGGCAGAACATTAAAGCATTCTACTTCAGCTCAGATTTTATAAACCTCCTACCCAGTTATTAGAAGCAAAAGAAGAAAAAGCAAGCTTTTTTACCTACTGTTTTCCATCCACATTCTATTTGCTGCATTTTCATAGTTTATTCTGTCATAATTCCTATCTCACTCACATCTTTTATTGGTATCATATGTACATCAGCTTTTCCTACAACTACCTCCCAGGCTTTTTTTCTGTATTGAATATAAAACAAAACAAAAATATGCCTTCAACATCTAACAAGAAGTATGTGAGTCCATTGTATGCAATCTTATCTAATTAAAACTAAAACTGCAAAGTTGCCACGTGAAGTTTGAAGCGGACAACAACAAAGCTCTAAAATGAAGACAACCGAAAAACAACCTACCCATTACATTCCTCAACTTTGTGCTTGTTTTTAAATAAATCTCCTAACAGAACAAGTATAAGTATGTTACAAGCAGTGGTAAACAGAAAAGGAACAGAGGATCAGGTGAAGAGCATACTCATATTGATAACATGGCACAAGATTTTATTAGTTAGTAACTTATGTACTTACACCCCTCATACGGGCACAGGAAAAGTCCGGATGCAAAGTTGAATGAACTAATGTTCTTTCTTATGGAACCAAGGGGCAAAAATAGTTCAGCCAAATTTATGCAGAGATACACTTACACATCTAGACACCCAGTTGTGTTTACATAGTGCCATGAAAAGTGCCAATACAGGTCTGGTTATGTGCCAATTTAATGATAAACAAGTGGGTCTTAACTTTCCAATAATTTGACTCCCAGCAGTCTATCCATCACTTTGTGAACTGACCACAACTGAAGAAAAAGGGTGAAGTGGAAAGAAATATATCAAGATGCCTATATAAACTTCTTGCTATAAAACTGCTACATATAAACCCATTCTGATAGGAAAAAATCAGGGAGGGAGAATTTGATTTTCAGAATATCTGTTGCTAATCACAGTTGAGCCCATACCTAGCCAAATGTTCAAAGGAAAAAGAGAGAAAAATACTACAAACTGATACCTGATAAAAATGTGGCCAGAATGTACTGATGGCAAGTTCTGCCTTCACCCATCCTTCTGTAACAACTCCCGATACGTTCCATATGGGATTGCCCTGTGGTCCTCCGTTCACCTTCACGTAGACATTCAGAGAGCCAGGACTCGAACGGTCTCTGCTGGATAAGTAATAGTGGAAGTCGATGCAATGCGTGTCATTTTCCTTCAACGTAGGCAACAGCAAGTGAGCTTTCTGCCCAGATGCCCGCCCAGAGCTGTTCACCATCATGAAGGAGCCTATAGATGAAAGCAAGAAGAGAAGAAAGAGTTGTTTTGCTCAGCTTTTTCAGTAAAAACAGTTCCATTAGAAAAGTCAGTGAGTCCCTTAGAAGCCAGAAAAAAACCCATGAAGAACTCAAACTAGCCCTTTTATGCTAGTTTTTAGGTAACAGAAATAAAGTATCTTAAAATTGCCGTGTATACACACATTCAGGGCCAGCTAGAACAACTTTAATTAGGTAACTTAAAAATTGAAATAAAAATATTATTTTGCTTTTATTTTATTATTTTATAACCTTGTGATAAAAACAGCTGCTGTAAACAAAAACATATTCACACTTCAAGCAGCAACGAGGCTCTCCTACTGCATACAGCTCGCTCAAAGGCACATTCAATACAAGAACTACAGCAATGGACCAAATTCGCAGCTGATGTTTGCTTTCGTGGCCCCTACCCACTTCACGCCAACCTATACCTGTGAACTCTGCATCTTGACACTATAAACTTTTGTAGGTTGTAACGTGTTAAGAAAAACCCAGTTTTCAGAGCCCAAATGAATTACGCTTGTTAGCATAACAGCAAGGTCTCAACTAGAAATAGTGCAACAAGGAGAATTATACTTCTAGAAGGGAAGGACAGGCTGAATTTCAAGAGGGAACTATATACTAAGGCAATTTATGAGTTTGTTAACCTGGAAGTTTGCATCATATTAACATGGCAGTTGATGTTGAACTCGCATTTTGATTCATCAAGCAGTTTCTTTAGAGCACATTGTGTCTTAACTCATGTCTTTCACAGATGCATCAAGGTGACAAATGTTAGCAATAAGGAAAAACGTTATGAGAGTTATTTGACTTTAAAGGATCTCCCTTATGTGTGTGCAGACACTCGCACTCAGGAAAAGCTGAAGAAAATACAAAGGTGGGGGGAGGACGTGTGTGTGTGTGGAATCTGTGTGCCAGCAGCCAGGCATGATAATTTTTAATCAAATGCAGCCCCCTTGACACTCTCGGTTCCGATGCTGCTGCCAAGGCATGCTAGAAATGTTATTTCTCTGCTGGCCTCTTGCAGTTCACAGAAGATTGAGTTTGAAAAGCCTTGCCTCACTTCTAACCTATTGACTTTCCCTATTCCACGCCGTAGCAGTATGACGCAGAGATGAGCCAGACAAACATTTTGATCAATTCTCTGCAGTGAACAGCCATATATTTATATCAACAGGTACCAGTAACTTTTTCCCACAAAAAAATGTTTTTTTCCTGTGTTTATACAATATACATGCCTTTTGTAAAGGATTGAAAAGCATGAACACAGGAGGAAGTCAGTCTTTCATAAAAAAAATCACACACTCTAGAGACCTTGGAAAATTCAAGCACAGCTGGGAAAGGAGCTGTACTAAGAAATATGAAAATTTATAGGCAAGGTGCTCTCTGGCAATCCTGCCTTTCACTTTGATATGCTAAAAATCAAAATGGCCCCAAATCAAGAAATTCCAGATTCACAGCAAGGACTTTGAGAAACGTAAGACCTGAATCCAGACTTATAAATTTCTCTCTAATGATCAAAGTCCATAAGATGGGATCCTGACAAGTGTTCACTGTTGACCTAATCCTGCTCCCATTGAACCTTCTCTTTCTTCAGCCAGTACTGTATACATACTGTTCTTAAAAATCCACCCAAATAAGCTAAAGTTTTGAGAAACCGAGATTTGGATTCTGTTTCTCTGAACTAAGTTAATTTATTATGAGAAAGTGCGGTTACCAAGAGGCTTCAAGAGGCAGCACAGCCACATAGTTAAGGCAGCACAGTGGAAACCCGACAACCTGGTTTCTAAGGCTAATTACAACACTCACTTCCACAATCTCTCTCAGTACTCGTAGTCTACCTCATCTTCCCTTACAAACAAATTAAGAATAGTCATAAGAACCACTCTTCTACTGACAGTCTGGGAGGAAAGCCATTGCAAAACAGCTGAGTAACAGTAGTATAGTATAGCGGAGTATAGTAGCTGCTGTGAAATGCACTGCCTGCAGCACTGCAATGCCATTTTGAGAAACAGTGCAAGATACAACAAAGACAAATTCTGTACGTGCCAGATCTCATACTTGAGGATGCTGGTATGGTCTTTTAATACACTCAGTAAAGAAAAGCAGAGCTCCTGTGCATCTACAAGGTTTTTGACAAAGTGCCTGCAACATTGGGTAGGAACCCAGGAAAACTCAGTTTTGCACCATTGATTGGACCATAGGGCACATCATTTCACTTTTGGGCATCTTTCTCAATCTTTTCTTTTTGTTTGTTTTTAGTTTGGATTATACAGAGAATCCTACCGTAAAGCACTACGCTGAAGCTGTACTGTGTCTAACACAATATGGTCTTGAACAGTACTGGGATAGGTAAGTACTTCAATGGTAGAAAAAGTTAGAGAGTATTTCACTTTTACAGACTCATATATAAAAATGAAGAGCTTTCCTCTGGGAGAAATAACACCAGCTTTTATAAAAAGTTAAAGCACTAATTACAACTTTATTTTTTGCCACCTACAAAAAAATGAATCACAAGCTATTCATGGTATGACAATGGCCTTTTGTGCAACAGCTGACAATTGAGAGAGACTATGGAGCCTGAATCTAGTGACTGACAACATGAGCAAGTAAAATATCCATCCATCAAAAAGCATTTAACAAAGTAATTAGTCTTATTTACTAAAAGAATAGCCTTATAAACAATTGACATATGCAAATTACTCATAGCTTTTTATAGCTTATGGGTTTTTTTAAATACAGTATGCTTACATACACAGGAGAAAAAAACCTATGTGTCTCCAGTAAAGTCCTGATAAGAGGTATTATTTTATATGACAGTGAAAAAGAAAAAAATTCCACTTATAGTGCCATCTCTGTCAGAGAAAACTACTCTCACATTTAAATCAGTTTGTCATCTACTAACTACACCACATTCTTTATTTCTGCAGAGACTCAGTGTGGCAGCTTCCACAATAAACCCTTCCCCTGGCTAGTCAAGGCATAGGGCACACCACCTCAAACCTGGCCATCGTAGGGGATGTAAACTTATAGTTTTGTCAAGACTATAATTGGCATCAGATACAAGAATATGCCTAGTTGCAAAATTCAGTTGAGGATTATTTGTATTCTACAAACTGGCCTCCAAATACGCCCACCTGTACATATTTTAATTTTCCTTTTCACAGCATGAACTTGAACAGGTGTCCCACCTCCTGTCCTCTAGGGCCTTCAAAAGGTTGCCCCGCATGCTCCAAGATCAACAGCCGAGATCCGCTGTTATAAATGTCCATGCCCAGTGAGGCTTGTCTGGGCAGGATACATCACTTAGAGACAGGTGAGAGATCATGAAAGTTGCTTCCACCAGAAAAAAAATTAAAATAATTCAAAACAGCCTTTTAAGGCCAAGTGTGATTTTCCTTATTATCCTTAATAAAAATTGACGTATTGTGATTCGGAGTCTGACAGCCTTCGTTAGACTGAACACAGAATTGAAGCTGATGGGACTTATTCTCAATCTGTAGGCCTACACATGTGAGTAAGAGAGATACAATCTGGTCTGGCACCAACAAACCATTTGTCGTATTTTCCACTCTCATAAAGAACTAGGGAATGAATTAACATGTCACAGATGGAAATTATTGATCAATGGATGACTGAAAGCCACTTAAATGTCTCCAGGAAAGAATCAGAATAAAACAGAAGGTATCTTGGAGAATCTCTTCTTTAAATCACTGCATATCCAATTTTGATAAATAATAATTGTAGAGGAAAAAAAATCATTTAGCATTGTTGTTTTATTTACCTTCCTCCAGAAAGTTAAGTCAACACTGAACTGAAAAAATCAGTTTAGGGGTAAAAAAAAAAAAATTACCTGTGCTACGTAAAAGTTCTTTTTTATATTTATTGGACACAGAAGTACACGCTGATTGAATATCAGGTCAATTAAATTTAGTGCTCTTGGATCAACAAGTTAAATTAATTAATATCTTGCTGATTTTGTCCTGAATAATCAAAAATAAATGTCCTAGGTTCAGCTCAGTCAGAAGCAAGGAGGATGCAAAGACGGTAAATAAATTCATTTTTAAAAATTCACTCAAACAATAGGAACATAAAACGGCACTCTCTCATAGTTATTAAACATACCACTGAAAATTGGGGAATTAAACCATGAAGTGCTCTCTAGCTGGCCATAAATTTCAATTTTTCCCCTGCTTGGTGCATAATGATGCCTTGATAAGCGTCCTATTATTGATGCATCTGCAACATATATCCTCTTTTTGGAGCTGAAATGCTACTCTGTAGCAGATGGTGGCTATTGTGTTTACACATCAGCACTTTATGATTGCATTTTCTCACGTCTGCAGTAAAAAGAAAGCCGTAATTGAGTTTTTAATGGTTTTGCACATTGTTCATTAAGATTACATGAGTGTGTTCTGACAAATGACAGCTGAAGAAATGAGCCACTGAGAACCCCTCGTGATCACCAGACAGACCTCGGCTGATGCTGTTTCACTGTTGAAGAACCGTGCTGTTTAAAAGTGAAATTATAGCAACCGCTAAAGACTGAGTGTAAACTTGAAAAGAAAGCTGTCAAAATGCTCGACTTGCAAAACAAGGCTTCTAAAACCTTGAAAACCAGAATCAGGTACAGAATGTTCTTTTAAAGAGCAAACTCCTTCCCAAAATGTAGGAATGGGTTTTCCCGCAGCTCCATCAGGTGAGCATGTTTTAGACAGAGTTTTTCTCATTTCTAAAGAACAGTTCTATCTCCAAATAAGTCAGTCTAACATATCACCTTGTTAAGGTAGAACAAAGAAATACGGAATAATCTGGGTTGGAAGGGGCCTCAGGCTGAGCTCCTGCTCAAAGCAGGGTCAGCTATGAGGCCAGATCGGGTTTCTCAGCACTTTTACCTCCCGAGTCCTACAAAACTCCCAGGAGGGCTGCCCATCCCCTCTGGGAAACCTGCTCCATTGCTTGAGGGTCCTCATG